CTGATGTCAGAGCTTCCCACTTCTTAAGATGCATATCTAAGGTACTCACCTTGTCTACTGATTGGCCTGTTTTTCCTTCTGTTAAGTGGACTGGTTGTAGCCTCGTTGTATGTGAAACGGGCTGTACCTTAGTCTGGGCCTTGCGTACTGGCTATAATAGCGGCCTCCACGCCCCTGTGGCCGCCTCTGGTAGTTTCTCTGGTTCCCCCGGAACCCAGCATTACATTTTCCATAGCCATAGCTGCCATACCTTCTACCCTTGGGCTGTGTACCTGAACCATGCCCAGCATTCCCACCTCCGCTACAAATAGGTAATTTTGATATTTCATTGATGTCTTTGATCTTTTTGGGCAGATCATTCCCAAATAAGAATTGCAACGGACATATCTTGGGCACAAATGCTTTGTACTTCCTATTGATATTGGGACGTAGGGCATATCTACGTTTGATAGAAAGGGTAAAAAGGGCACTCCCTAGTAAGGCAACAGAATCAGAAATATACTTACATCTAGTCAGTTTTTCTGATGTAGCTTCATACGCAAGAAGCTCTTCCGCTAATTTGAAAAGAGAGACCATCCCAGGAGCCAAAATCTTTTGAACGCCATGCAGTGCAACATTTGCAGTTTGGGATCAATTTGGTAATACGGCCCAAATTTCACTATTAACCTTGGGGGCACCCAGGAGGTAACAATATCCCGGTCTGGGGTACATTTTCACAAAAAAATGGCAAGAGACCCGGATACATTAGGCCCTAAAAGCTCCTCTGCCTCATTTTGAGGCAAGTTCCAGTCACCCATATCATCCCCATCGTCACATATACCATGAAAAATGTCACCCGGCTCATACACACTCCCTTGAGCCGAAACCTCGTTATCTTGGGCTAATTCTAATTCCTGCCCAGGACCATATCCATAACTTGAATATTCCTCATGGTCTGCGAATAAATCGCCTGGGTCGAGGGGAATGAGGGTCTTAGCGAAAGGCCATCATTGTTTTCATTTGTGTTCGTCACCGCCATATTGGACGACGAGGCAGCTCGACCCGGGCCCGACCTGGCCGGTGTCTCAGTGGCCATTTTAGTCATCATGTTTTTGTTAATAGAACTCAGTGATTGTTCCAATTTACTAATCCCCAATTGGTGTTTTAGTTGGGGAATATTGAACTCAAGTCCCTCGGACTTTTTCTTACTGGCACTGGCAGCGCCAGCTCGGTTACTTTTGGGACGGCCGGGAGGGGCAGACTGAGCGACTTTCGCCTGTTTTCCACCTCCCCTACCACGAGGGGCAGACGTCGTTCTCCGCCTTGAGCGGCGGTGACCAAATATCTCTGTATCACTATCTGGGCCACTGGATTCACCAGAGCTATCGGGCAACTCACCCTAATCGGCGAGCTCCTCCTCGTCCGAATTACGTCCCAGCGAGAGGGTATCGTGCATCTCGGCCACAATACCTCGTTTTATCAAGTAGCCAAACGAAACTAATTAAAAAAAAGTCGGCACGGCGTGCTCAACTATGAAAGCGACAACTCACCAAAATCTGACACGTGCGTCGTGTTCAAAACTCGACAGGAAATATAATTCTTCGCTGTGGTATTCTGGGTAAAGTACCCGGATGTACCCGGATATTCATGAATATTTATAAGGTTTTTGTGACCTTTCAACCGAGTGCGTAAGTATAAACATTCCGGTGGAAGTGCTGTTTAAAACCCTCGCTAGCCGAAGGCGTAGCGAAATAGAATGACAAATAGTGCAAGCACTCGAAAAAGAAATACTCCGAAATATTGTTTAAACACTTAAAAGTGTGACCATATTGAAAACTCTTTAAGGAACGCTACCAGTAAGTGTGACAATGCTGGGAAATATTTTATGAAAATAGATTTATCAAAATTTCGAAAAGAAACCGATACGTTGCTGAATTTTTATCAGAAAATTATATTAAAGACTAGATTTTAAAAATGCACATTATCTTTAAATTGTACGAACTGAATTTACACAATAATATCATATGCTATTTGATGTTATTATATTATCTATTTATATGTGTTTTAAAATATTAAAGTTTGAGTTGACGTATGTTTCAAGATACAGCTTTTTTGTAAAATAGTACAATGGTAAAATCATATCGACATCTCATGGTCGTTATGGCCTTTATTCTGAGGAAACCATACGAAGTTGGACATCACGCCAGGCACATGCTTCCTACTGAACTGGTATGTGATTCATGTAGCAAATGTTGTTTTATGAGTGTAATAAAATGATAAAAAAATCGGTAAAATATGTGAAAAATATTAACAGATAATCTTTTACAACCTTTTTTTTTCTTTCTTTTTTCTAATATATTGCTATTTTACATACCACGTACATTATAATACTATTCGTGCTTGTCATCACCTCGTTTAAGCACGGGACACGTTGTTAACTAACAGTACATTGAACTATATACCAAGTTGAATATAGCTGATAGCAAAAGGGAAATAGAACAACAGGCTGTAAATAACAAAATATAGGATATAGACACGGAATATATATATCTATTATTAATTTTCTCTCCCTGTATCGTTGAAAAGATTTGCGCGGTTCGTTGATACTGTAGCAGATTAAATCCAAAACAAAACATAATACACAACAATATGTTTTGTATGTGACCTTCTAGTACTAGCATCTGTTGTGATAGAAGGAAAAATGTAAATGCACGTGAAAGTTGCAGTTGTGAATTAAAATCAAAACATTAATTCCACTATTTTTTTTATATTGAAATTTACATGCCTTATAACACAAGTTGTTTCCATATGACTTTATACAATGTGGTTCATGCTGATATGATCGCAAGTACATTTTTTGATGAAAATTTCAATTTCGAAAAGAAACCGCTTTATCAGACTGAGATTAAATCGACTAGGTTTGTTTCGCATATCAGGAGTCATTTTAGCAATGGTTCGGAAATCTCAAATGTTGCGCAAAGGAATTGTTTACACATATTTCAACATATTTCAAATAAATAAGCACGTCAAAAAATTTCAATCAATATTAACAAAATATAGTTTATATTCCTTTGTTTTTTCCACTTCACTACATCATTTTCAGCGGTGTCTCCCCAAACACAAGTCTTCTTATGATTGAAGCTGTGAAGAGGATGCTAAACGAACTAACAATTATAAGGATTCCATAATTGCAACCGACGACAGGGTTCAAACTCGTAGCTAGCACCTGAACGGGGTAAATACGTTCAAAAGCTGTGGTACTTCAGACAGACATCAGGCTGGTATATCATTGTTTTTTTTAAAGATTATTAAAAAAAAAAGCCGGTGTAGAATAGAGGTAGACGACATATGCCGCCAGAACCATATTGCATTGGCAATCATGATAATATTTCTGTTCAGAATATATAATTACGTTGTTATTGTTAATGTCTTTTTTCGACTGCTTCAATTCATCTGTTTTTTATTACAATCATAAAGTAGATTAATGCTGTATATCAGGTATATTATATGAGAACACGTACTAATCTGACCACCAATAACAGGAAAGACGACATCCTAGGCGGACCACAGTTCAAGTAAGTTGGTTTCACTAAAAACAAAAGATCTTGTTTGGTTGCCGATTTTTAAACATGCATGTGCTGAATTTATTTTGTTTCATTCAAAACGTTTTCTTCTTAATATTATTTTTTTAATTTATTTTTTCTTTTGCTGATTAGTTGTTTTCCATGCCTTTTTTCGTACTTTACACGTTTCTTAACAAATCAAGGCTGTGATAATAAAAATAGAAACATAATGTAAGGAAGCATTTAATTACAACTTTAGTTAGAGTTATTGAGTCATAATGGCAGAAAGATAACAACGAATTAGTGTAAAAAAGCAATACTGTTATGCACTTATTTACAAATTTAGTTTTTTTATGAAGAATACCGAACAAAAAAAATATTAACTGCATCATATAAAAAAAAGTTATTGAGTCAAAATGGGAGAAATAAACGAATAAATGAAGAGTTTTTTTAATACAATTACTGAATTATACATGTCGATTTAAAGGCAGACGTAGATACTTGTTATAGATCTAGAATTTATCATTTTTGGAATAACTGCAAACGCATGTACAAGACGATAAAACATTCAAAATATACAAACAGTATTATAGAATGTAGATTTGTGTTTCAGGTCTGGATTGCAAGCATAAGTAAGCACTCACATATGTTTATATAAATGAAATATATGAAGCTAAAGTGTGTGTATTGCATTTGTATATGTGTATATGTGAATGTCTACAATGCCATTTATGCCATTACCTTTATACGCATCTACTTTGATAAGTGTGACGTGACATATGATTTCTGTTCTATATTATGAAAGCTTTGCGTGTTTGTCTTACATAAACTAAGTGTCGTTGCTCGTTAATGGATTGTATAAACCAAATTATTTGAAAAATACAGACATCATTATTTTCGACCATTGCAAACTGTCTATTCATTTGCTTAGGCGTACTTATAGTTCATTAACCATCAGCATTCCATATGTTTGACATTTAGGTTGCTTGTTTATGTGTTATTGATTCGCTGTACACGTAACATGCAGTTATCGGCCTAATGCCATACCAAGCTTGATTTACGACTGATTGGTACATGTATGCGTATATACATGTAGCCCTTTATGCAAAGAGTCGTCTAAGTCACAATGCCCCAGTTCGGCAATTTAAGCAGAACAGTTTACGTTTCATTAATCACATGCTATAATTATATTTTTTTCAATTATTAGTTCTTAATACGTTTACTAATAGCACTGGATTTTGTATCTCCAAGGTCCTTTAGTTCAATCTTGCACTATATGCTTTACTGAAAAACAATTCGTGTACGGTAACTTCAAAATATATTAGTACTATATTGTAACAATTCCTAAGAGTATATACTTTAATAAAATAATTGAGTGACATAACAACAATGAAAGCATATTATTGCATTATTTTATATGTTTTTTGATCACTTTTTTAGATTCAATTTGAAGTCAAAATGACATTTTTGAAGTTGGAGGACTACGTCATATTTGTGTTATGCCTGATTTCATCACTTGGAATTGGCCTCTTCTATGCGATTCGTAACAGATCTAAACAGATCACTACTAAACGATTCATACTAGGAGATGGTAAAATGGCTATAATCCCGGTTGCCTTTTCTATGATGGTGACGTTTGAGTCTGGTATTATGATGTTGGGAATTCCGGCGGAAGTGTACATGTACGGTATGCAGTGGTACATGTCGTCAATAGCTGGTTTCGTATCCCATATGCTGTGTCTTCATATACTTATTCCTTCGCTAAAACAGTTGAATGTTACAAGTGTGAATCATGTAAGTATAGTTTCATAATGTGCATATTCATTCGTGTGATAAGATACTAAATAAACTAGCATGTTGTGGTAGCTCCTCGGATTGATTTATATATATTAATACATCTACATTTACAGTCATTGTATTTATGCTGCGGAAATACATCATGGTTATTAAGCACTTAATGAGGTATTCATAATGTGCAACATCTTTAAACTGAGTTATATAATTTATATATATAATTCATTGTGTTTATTTCGGGGAAGACTGTCAAAACAAAGTTACATTAAATGATATAATTCATTCAAAAGAACTAATTATCACAATCCACAGGAAACACTTTAAAAAACATATTGATTGTTTCTATTCAATCAAGTATATTCCATAACTCTCTCCACCTTGAGCCTTTCTCAGGGTGTAATGTGAATGCTTCAGACAATGTTGTTTGTTTCTGTTCCATAGAGCGTGGTGAAGCAGTGCGCATAATAATACTACTGGCAATGATTGAGAGACATGCGTTGGTCATATTTGACATTGATCATTATATTGATATACCTGTTGACATTTCAGTACTTGGAACTTCGATATAATTCCCATGGGATCCGATTGTTTTTAACATGTGTATCTATACTTTCGACGGTAAGAACTATATATTGTCCAGTGATTATACGTGTTTTCCGGTTAATAAAAAAATAAATAATTTACCTACCGTCACTCATGCCAGTTTATTGCTGTTTGTCCGGTCAAAAAATGACTATGTTGTAAATAATTTAGTCTCGTGAACATTAAACTGTTGTACACATGAATTATTATATCTAGTTTTGTATAAGTGCCAGATTTTAGTCATTTTTTTAAATATTGTATATTCTTGGAGATAATCCTTGTACTTTTAAACGTTTTGTTCTATTCAAAATATCGGAAATAGCGTTTCATCGAAAATGTGAAAGAAATGGAAAATGGACTTGATCATTCCCAGTACGTTAGAATTCACCTTTATGAGTTACTCATTTTGTCTGTTTATGACGACACATACAGGCTACAAATTAATTTAATTTTTCATAAGTAAGTCGCCAGGAATTATAGTGACACGTTAAGATATGATGACAACTAAGTTGGCTTTCGATAATTAAATCAATTTACCACGTCAACTGGTCGATGTTTCGAGAGAAATTTGGAACTTATCAATGTAAGTCCACTCACCATTGTAATTGTGCATTGATATATCAGTGGACTTAAATAATGCATCGACCTATCCTAATTTTAATCCCACTGACATGAAATAATAGAAAACAAATCAGTTATAAATCAAGATATATTTTTTTATGAGTCTACTTATCGAGCTAAATAATATGATTACCTCAAAAACATCAAAGGAGGTCTTCATTATCACGATTAATCAGTTTTATTATAATTACTTGCAATTGATCAAAAGACTTTTGAGGATTTTGACAATAAATAAGGCACTTTGACGATCAAATCTGCCACTAAAACTTAGAACATCGATAACTGTTTGTCCATCTTTAAAAACAGTTAATTGGAATATTTTACAAAAACAACTGACACCGAGGACCGGTTTTACATATATATTCTCAAAACTGTTATTTGTATTGACTTGGTTGCATGTTGATTGAACTAGCTGATATTCTATACTGACAGGTGAACTATCTCGGAACTGTTACATTTGTGCCGGCTGTTACGTTGGAAATGGGTAAGATTAAATTTAACTAATCAGTCAGTTGTGGGGTTAAATGTAAACCGAGTTGAACGTATTCTACCAAACAATTGCAAAAGAAAGGGTGTGATGAACAGGCTAGTTTGCCAGATAATTGTAAGATAAGGAACCACAGGCAATTAATCAGACTGGATATATTACTGTTTTTGAAAAATGTGTTAGGAACACTTTTCTACAAACCGTAACGGGAAACATTAACTTCAACCGGAACACACCTCAGTAAAAAGAGGACATCATTAATCTCAAAACAACAAACATTTAATGTCATGCTGTGCGGCTGTGCAATATTTAATAATGTATTTACCTTTACAAAGACACCACTATAAATTTCCACTAATGTTTAGGTATAGAAAGTAATGCTGTTGATTTGGCATGTTACCGATGACTTTCGTAAAAACGTTTCTCTCCAAATCGCCATAGTGTGCTGTAGCTGTGGTAGTTTTCTGGTTTCAACACCTTACTTTCATATTCATGTGAACATAATGTCGATACAAGTTCTGTAAGTAATGACGAGAATATGTTAAACCACTTGTTTTTCCTTACAGTGGCTGGAATTCCTGTTTGGATCTCCGTTACCACATTGATGGGCGTGGTTGTTGTTTATACGATAATTGTAAGTGATATATGGATTTGCAAATAAAAAAGGGTCGTCATATACTCTTTGTCATTGTCGGAAGAACTGGATAAGATACGTCATTGATTATACTAATTTAATGATAATGTTGGCAAAAACCTATAATATAATTTCCATTATAGGGTGGACTCACGGCAGTGATATGGACAGATGTTCTACAGGCCATACTCATGTTCGGTGGCATGATTGCTATAATATTTAAGGTAAGGATGGAGTAGTTAAAGAACATTTTGTTGTTAAGCATTATGTCCACTATAGATATGATTATTAAATAGTAATTGCCAGAACGTTAGATATGCTCTTATATCATTGTGATTCAATTTGGAAGGTGTGCGAGAGATAAATCTGAAGTAGCAGTCATACGTAAGAAACACTATTTTGTATTTTTAAAACTAGGGTACGATGGAAGCAGGTGGTTTAGCCAGCACATGGAACATTGTAAGGGAGAGTGGACGGTTAAACTTTCTGGAGTAGGTAACATAACGGTGTTATATAATATAACTGATGTGAACAATACTACATTCCGTCTGATTAGGCATCAGAGACATAAGCTTGATTCCATTTTGAATGCTCGTTGTTGAGCTTCACGAATGTTGAAAAGTCCTGATGAAAATATCTTCTCAATGCAAACCTTTGCATTCGTTCTCGTTCTGAAATGGGATAAACGGGATGTTTTTTTCACTGCTGCGTGCAAAACATTCTTTACTAAATTTTATAAAAATAGCACAGAGAAAAACATTGTTCATGTGAAATCCAATTAAACCAGCACCCATGATCCAAAGATATCTGAAATAATTCCCAAGTTCTTAAGGGGCCTTAGTGTCTTTCGCATTAAAGTAAATACTTATTAGACATTGTTCAACTACATGTTATCGGAAATGTTCACATTTACAACGTCCTGACTTAGGCAACTGTTTGTTATGCCTGGTGTGTGATTCAAAGTCAAATTAGGCAATCACAGTATTTATAAAATTAACGAGCATACATGTAGTAACGAATTTTTTTTGGTAAATAAAGATATTTGTGCTTCAGTTGCAATACGGGATAGGTGATAAAGTACAGAGCGACTATGGATTTATACATTTTTCGAAACGTTTGTTACAAGCTTAGGAATCTCTTTTATAATTGCAATAGCAGTTCGATGTGTTAGTTGATATCTAATGTGAAAACCATTAGTACCAGATATTCATCCGTTTTAATCAGTCGCTCGGGATTAAACCATTGAAACCGGACTTAACAAAGCACGTCGTTTCTGTTATTAAGCTTTAATCCCGATCCCACTTTACGTCTGTCGTTTTGGAGTCTATTCATTGGCGGTCTAATTTCTGGACCTAGGATGTCATTTAGCCAGTCAACGTATCAACGGATCAAGGCAACACCCTCCGTTGCAACAGCCAAAAAGTACGCCTTGGTGTTCACACGGTATATTTGTATATGCAAGTGCTTGCGTGTTAGCTTTCGCCAAAAAGATGCTTTATCGATTAAAAGTAACTTCGGTACAAGTTATATTATTGTCTTACAGAGATTCGAGTTTAATAGAGTAATTGACATTATATATATTGTTCTTGATTTGAAATATATTTGTAGCTACATTATCTTTAACATTTCGATATACTGTTATCATGTGGTGCGTAAAGCTGAAGTAACTAAATATGCAGTACAATCACAACAAATGCATTGTTTTGTTTTGAAATATTAACGTATAAAAATATGACTTCTTGTAGAATAATTAATTTCTTTGTAGAATGTTTTTTCTCTCGGGCCTGTTATTTCTATTCATCTCCACGTTGGCAGTTACGGAGGGAGCTGTCATGTTTGCTTATTTCCAAACAAAAGGTTGTGATCCACTAGAAGCTAAGCAACTCAGGAACCAAAACCAGGTGTAACATCTTCCACATTGGAGTGCAACAAATGTTTAGCCTTTAGTCGTCTGTTTGTCTTTATATTGTATCATATGCACTTGAGTGTAAACGCTTTGTAAAATTTGTTCTTGTTTTTTGACGTTGTGGTATATTTTTTCCTTGTTTGTTGATGTCGTGATATTTTTTTTCTTCGTTAGTTGCCGTCGTGATGTAACTTTCAACTTATTTGTTGACGTCGTGGTATATTTTTTATTTGTTTGTTGACGTCGCGGTATATTTTTATCCTTGTTCGTTGACGTTGTTGTATATGCTTTCGTTGTTTGTTGACGTCGTGGTATGTTTTTTGTTTGTTTGCTGACGCTGTGCTATATCACGTCCCTGTCTTATCACTGGATATATGAAGTATTTGTGAATTACTTTGAGACGATATACGAACTAGGTTGTTATAAAACGGTATATAATAACGATAATTATTATTATTAGTAGTATATGTTATTTCTCAAACTTTTGGTAAAATTTTTGTCCGAAAACTTAATGATGTTTTATTATATTTTATGATACGATACAAGAAGATAACATGAACATGAAAATATTTATAAAATCGGTATTATTTATAGAAATTAAAGGCTATAAACAAGCCGTTCATAACTGTTAATATATATACATAATTAAAAGAACAAGTTGTGTCCTATACAAATGTTATTTATGCCTCTGTAAAGAAGAATAAATCTCGTTTTTTTGAGCAGTTGATGGTGAAAATGGTCCATGACATATCAAAGAGAACACCCGGTCTCCCGGGTCTGTTTTTGGCTTCACTATTTAGTGCTTCACTGAGGTAATCGCAAAAGTTGTCAATAATGCATTTTTGCTGCTTAGTTCTCAGCGCGTCTATCACACATCAATATCATAAGACAATATACAGTTATGGGACCGCACAACGCACCAAAAATAGCGTGCACCCACCGTACATAAATCGTTCACACACCGTCCGCACATCGTCCACACATGGTGCGCACAACTGTGAAATTTAGCAATCGTTCGCCCCGTTGTGCGCTTCTCTCATTGGTATCATTTGTAGATTAAAATTACGGAATGACAAAAATACGGAAGACTTGATGCGATAATGTACACTGTGTACATGTCTGTAATTTCTCAACCCATTAATCAAGATTATTCAATTTCACAATGTGTGTAACACAGTATTACAGCGACCGTTAGGCTGTCAAGAATGGGTTTGGCTCCAAGGAAACAGAATAGGTAAATAACAATCTTATGAGTGTCCAGAGTTTTATCTGACCAGTGCCTGACACACAGAGCTGATATGCGATATCTTTTGACCGTAATGAATAGTATTTGTTATTTGCATTCGTTTGCTTATAGCTCCCCATACACCTGGATTTTCACTCCCCCGGCCTTACCCGAAGGGTTACTTAAGTGCCCCAGGCGGGGAGAAAACTACGTTCCAGGTACATGTACAAAGTGTTTATGTTTACCTGTTAACGGGATTGTGTTGATTAAGTTTGTTTAAAAACACAGAAAACCCAATTTCTAAATATAAGTAGGTATAGACAGAAATATTAGTTTATAGATGTTGCTAGAGTATAGAAACATAAGTAAACATCAAGTTTATATGTCTAAACATGAAACCGTATAAATTGTCAAGGCATTCCTCAATTTACACCAACCACGATTGTTATCGCACAACGTCCGTCCATCGTCCGCACAGATGTGTGCAAGAAATGATCGTCCAGCATTTTATCGTTCGCCCATCGTGCACACACCGTTCACACACCGTGGACACATCGTGCTTACATCGCACATCGTGTAACGTAGTGCGATCCCACAACTGTATAGAAAGCGCCTTCTTTGAATAAAATTGATGACATAGTATAAATGCGTGTTGTGCTATCTAACTGTTCTTTGTATACTAAGGACAATCACGTATGAAGTTAATAATTTATATTTTAGTCAATATCACATTGTTTTCATTAAGGGACGGACTTTGTTTTAATACATTAACTCTCATCTCTTGCAGTACCATGTCATCTCTATTGAGTAGTCTGTCTGCAGTGTTTTGGGAGGATATAGTTAAACCCCACACCAAACCGATGTCTGATAGAAAAGCGATACTTGTTACAAAGTGTTCAGGTGATCTACACTTCACTTCATATAACAATCTCTATTCATACCGTTTTAATAAATGCTTCAAAAATATCGAAATGTTACATTTAAAACATTTATGATTTTGCTATTTATTGTCTTAACATTGGCTCCATGAACAAAGCGAATGGTTATATATTAATGGTTCCAGTACCAGTGCCAAAAATGTAACTTTTTATTTAAAATAAATTATTTTTCCAGCATAATTGAAACTTTGATGGATCATATCTGAAGAGAACGGTGAAGATAAAACAAACAACATATAATTTACAACAGTACGTAGGAAGTTCAGAGTCGCTAGACTAGGGTTCGAACCCTTGACCTAAGACTCGTGGAATGTCACTCTAACCAACTGAGCTTAATCGACAAACTTTGTATCCTGGTTATTGTTAATACAGGGGAAAACACGGTGGAATAAGCAGGTGTTTTAAAAGCAGTTTTACATGGGTTCTTTAACGATAACCAGACTGTGTAAAAACCCTTTGTCATGCATGTCAGCCTATTGTATACCTGTTTATAAGCTAAAGGACCCCTTCCAAATTAGAAACCAGAATTCCATTGTAGTTTTCCACACATACTGTTACTTCTGTTGATTTGTTTTGTATGTATAGTTGGACTAGGTCGTCAAGGAATAACCGCCGATCACGCAGTTCAGAGCAGAATGTTTCATGAGGTCTAGCCCTCGAAATCTGGTCTTGTTCTGTCTTATTATTCTCAGAACAATCATGTCGATTAGTTAACTTCATTTGTTTTAATGTAGTATAAAGTTCAGTAATGCATAAGCGGCACGAGGATCCTAAACATATTTTGCCATTTTGTCACACTTTTGAATATATTACATTGTAACAACATTTTTGCAGTGTTACTTTTCGGAGGGATCGCTTTACTTGTTACTTTTGTCATATCTGGAATCGAGGGACCAATATCACGGGTATGTTACGCATATCCAGATCAGTCGAATTCAGAAATTGATACATTTTTCATTTTGTCGACTTTTGTCACATGAACATTTTGCATGTTCGCACGTTTTGCAGAATTGTACTTTTCTGAAATTAATCAACAAAATCTTTGTAAACCTACGTAAAACCTGTTAAGTGGTGCATGTTTAATTAATTTTACATTTTTAACGACAAAAGTAATAAATTCCTGACATCACACATATTTTTTTTTTGTTCTATGTTGTGTTGTAGATACTTGATATTACTGGAGCTTGTTTTGCTGGTGCTAAAGTAGGTGTGTATGTCCTTGGATGGTTTATACCGAGAGCCAATGCGTTGGTAAGTCGATTGGACGTTTGTATACTTAGAGTTAGTTCAGTTCATTGTAACGCGTCTGTTTGCTTTTATATGTATTTGATTGTGGTTCAATTAACTTTAACGTAAGATTTACAAAATTAAATTATTATTGATTCTGACTGTTGTAAAAGGCGATATTCATGTCAGCGTAGTATCAAAAGACGGTTACTTCCTATCTAATTTAGGTTAACAGATAGTTTTTTGCTTGCATTCAGTTTTAGATTTGTATATACACAATTACACTGAATTTATTTTGATTCCTGGTATTCATACATTGTTTATAACTTTTGACTTTTTGCATACACAGGGCGGATTCGTTGGTGGCTTGGTGTGTGTACTATTTGTAGGATGGATATCAGTAGGGAAGTTGATTTCATCAGGAGTGCGTGTAAATGCAAAATTAGAACCGGCATCAACGGAAAATTGTCCTCTGGTCAACATTTCTGGATTTACCAATGGAAATATTTACGAGCAAATGATGACAGAATTTATGTCAAATGATACTGATTCAATTGCGGGGGCGAAGCATATGACCGTCACTCAAGGACCGTAAGTGCTAGTTAAATCAAATTTTAATTGAAACAGTTTGAGGAAAACGGTCAATTATGTTTTTTAAATGTGAATACATGTTTCACTTATTCTCTATATTATTCCGTGTTTCCATTGCCTTTTTGTTGTAATAGTATAAAAGTACCAATCACTACATACCGTTAATATATTTCTGTTGAGTAGTTTTCTCCAAACTATTTTGCCTTCGCTATTTTAGTTTTGCATGTCAAGTAGCCTTCCATGTTTGTTATCTTTAGATACAACCAGTCTTCTGGACACTTTAGCTACAAGTGAGGGAATTTTATAAAAATAAAAAGTACTGTATATACATAATACCGGTTATAATGGTGGCAACAAGCATTAGCAGAATGATCACATGTCAAACGAATGTTTCGGTTTCATGTTTCATGTATATGGCGTCCCTCTTATATGCAAGACATTCATCATTTTGCCACTATTTAATTGTTTAGGACCGAGTGTGCGACATCATTATAATTATAATCATATTATCGGAAATTAATGGTGATGAACCATGTATGCTGATCGAAGACCGGAAGAAAAAAGGGATGAATAAATCCGGAGTAAACAGCTGATTACGAGATCGATAAATGCAAAATCAGCTAAGCCACATAGGTCTAAATAAGGATGAAAAGAATAGCAATATAATAATATATAGGTATATGAAAATACAGCAGAAATGCTAACGAGTACCTGTATATGAATGTTGTTAATACAGTAATCGGGGAGGGGGGGGGGAGAATTTAATAATAACATGTATCATTGTGAAAAAAGAGGAGACTAACAAAGCTGTATTGATAGTGAGTGCACGTTAATTGGAATATACATACTAGTCGGGTTTTAATGTTCAAGTTATCATTTGTATTTGTCCTTTATGCTGTCGGTTCGCTTCAGCGTCTATCCTGACACATGCTTACTTTTTCCGGCAGAAATGGACACATTTAAAGAATTATCACTCCAACCAAATGCTAATATATTTTCTAGATATAAATGTTATTTTTTTCCAGACAAGGCCTTGATGTACTGTACTCCCTGTCGTACAAATGGTTGCTTCCAATCGGCATCTGCTTAGTCGTCGGAGTTGGAGCTCTCGTCAGCCGTTTACAAGGTATTATTCTCAAAGAAATGTTATTCATTATTCAAATATTTTTGAGTTGAGCGATGTTATTTTTCTTCTAATTACATTTTATTTATTATCTGTTTGCTTCGTTAACAGCTCGGAAGCCTGTCGATCCATCGTTGATCGTACCGGTGTGTGATTATCTGTGTTGCTGTATTCCCGAAAGAATCCGAAAGAAGTTCCGGTGCGGAATAAAGTATCCGGGAAGAGATGAGGTACACATATGAATGAAGTTTGAGATACTTCAAATTTTGTTTTTTCCCACACTTCACTTAGGCATACCTGTATTTTCATAACGAAAAGGTCAACCGTTTTTTTTTTAAAGGAAAAACAGTCAACAAGTTTATATTCTGAAAATGTTACTTTCGTAATTTCTTCATGCAGAGTAACGTGAGAAGCGACATCCAGTACGCTCACTTACTGATTGCACGATGCATCCAGTTCACCATCAAACTATTTGCTTAACAAATAATCATTCGCTCCCGTATCAACAACATAGAGAAATATCAAACATTGAGTTTGACCTTTAGCACATGGCTTAAGCTAGGAAAACCTTTTTGCGCCGCTTTTCATTTCTAGGTCACACACGAGTATGACATTCAACATGTCAGTTTTTAAAGTCATCAGTGTTAAAGTAAATCAGACCGATGGTATATACGACGTCCTCTTTTCCCTCATCTATTTACTTCAAACATTATTTCATATTTCTCTGGGCATTAATTATTTCGTAGATTTGCAAAAAACACCAAATGTTGAAATATATACATTGGTCAATTTAAATACAAAGATATTCATCGTTTCTTGATGAATGACCGTTACATTTCGGTTACAGGGAGAAAATGGTGTGTCTTTTGAGATTGTGTTTGTGTGTTCATAGCACGAGTGTATGTTTTCCATGTAAAAGATTTGTTGTGAAATGATCAAAAGTGTGATTTGTGGTATTACACAAATATAAACTTCAAATTCAATAAAATGCCTTGTAATTCCTTGTTGAAAATGTAATAAATGGTATTGTTTAAGCATCCGTTAAAAGTCGCGAAGTTGACGTAACATTTGATGACACTCGTCAAAATTATAAATTGGGAAATATTAGAACTGATTAATGTATGTGTTAGATAAAGGTAGTGAAACATCTGCACTTTCAATTGTTTTCATTAAAAGTTTTCTTTTTAAAATCTCTCACACGAAGAACTTTTGACTGTCTTGTTTCTTTTCTTTTCTAAGGTAACAGCCCAGAATGAGGAAACTGCAGTACAACTAATTGAAATGGAACCAATAACAGACGATATTTCTGTCAGGAAATGAATACAGCATCCTATAACAATATTACATGTGTCATACGGGTTGGATTTGACCAAATCCTTTTGCGTCATAATGATATTTTTGACTCTGGGCGGTCACAATGGATAACGTACTAGGTTTTTTTCCGAGACGACCAGCCTGTGATTTCTCTATTTCGCGACCACTTAGCTTTATCAAAGAACTCCGGTTTATTCTTTCAACTTCATGCTACCGTTTGGAACAACGGTGATTTATTTGATTTTAATCCATTTGTTTCTTACTGGCTGCTCAATTGTTAACTGATAAAAAAAAAAAATTAATAAAACATACTTTCCTATCAATACTCACTTTGTCAATAACAGTTAAAATGTCGAGCGAATATTACTGCAGAATGGCAAAATGGAAGCGACAGTGCATAGCATTTATTTTTGAAGGCATAGGAGTAATCATCTGGCATTTTAACATCATCGATTTCTGATAATTGTTATGTTGTATATGTCTCAAATCACAAAAAAAATCAAATGACAGTTTATATCATCTCCAATCCGTTCGAAAGTTCCTTTCGGAGTATTGTCATCGAAAGTCAAGGACAAGAATTTGAGTGATAGTTTTTGTCCTTTTTGACAGCTGCTACAATTTCTATTCATTTCAATCTTTAGTGAAAGAGTTTGTTGTAATGTTTTGCTACTCTCAAAAGGTTAATAATCCATTCAAAAACAGTAACAAAGATCATAATGATATTATCCGAAACTTAATATGCTGGATATTTTAAAAATTGTTGCTTATAAGCATGTTTCATCATCTTTTTGTTATAATAATTACATATTTAAATATATCATATTTGAAAAAGTATTCAATGGATTATTGTTCTTAATCTAATTGGTCAGATGAAATTTTTTAAAGAAAACTTCATTAAGGTATAATATGACATGATCTGTAACATAATCATGCGAGCGAGTACACATTGAATTAATAATGCATTGGTTTTATCCTCTCGGGATTTTTTAGATTATGCACAAGAGTTGCCCAAACTGTTCAAAAGATGCATAAGTTTATATTTTGAAGAACTCTATGACAAAGTGATATCAATGAAACAACACACAATCAACAGTGCTAAAACATTGATCCGTATTAGGCACAAAGAAGGATGATTATAATAAGTTAAAAACAACTATTCGTTAATATTTACACAAATCACGAGTTTGATTAAATATTTAAGATTATCAGCTGATGTTTACTCAAGAGAGTGTCTATGTCATTCCAGAACAAACTGGTTTTCCATTTTTTTCTATACGCTTATATGATTGGAGTATAAGTTTTAGATGATATGCCGACAAAATTACAAAAGTGGTTCTTATTTGCAATGTTGTAACGATTCAAACAAGTTAACCAAATCAATGATGTAATTTACATGTACAATATATCATTTAACAGGTTAATATCCGTAGTCCAGATATTAAAAAACATGCACCGAAAACCTCACTGTTATACAACCTTTTATTTATATAACTACTGGTTTTATTGATATACCAAATTGCAACGTCTGCCTAGATACACCACAAGAAACATGGTTCAACTAACTTGTTATTGTCCTGACTACAATAAAGTACGTAATGCACGGTTCAAGAAAGACAATCAAACTTATTGTTTCTTCAACATTAACGTTTTTTGGTCTAGTTGCTCCTGAATATTTTTGGGCACGGATACTAATCCAACCATTGTGTCTGCTTCATCTTCGGCAAATTTCTGTAATTAAGAATGCCGACTAATTAGAATTTCAAAACGATATGTAAATAAGCAAGTTCGGACGGAATCAATCCATATAAGTATTATACACAAACAGAGGTGGTTTCCATTTCAGAATGTTCACTTTATTCACCTAATATAAGAATGGGTTCTGTCTCCAGGCTGGAACATACAAAAAGTCCTTACAAATCGTAGTTGCTATTCCATGATTAACATTCAGCATCTAGGGCAAACCGGTGCATCCGTTGTCAGTCTAATGTGACCGGGCGTAATGCTGTGCTGGGTACCCTCGGCATGGAATTTCAGTGGGATAGCCCTTTAAAGTCGGCATCAGATGCGCATTTTCAGAGGGAGGCAAACACAACAACATACTCTACCTACGTCTCACACACAAGTACGTATACACAACACATTGAGGCACGTCATTAAATATATATATATATATATTTTTTTTATAATTGTTTATTTTTCGAAGATTTTACATAAATATGGCATATTCAAACACATACAAAACAAACAAAACACATTGTTTTCTTCTAAGCCACCATCATTATCATCATCATCATCATCATCAATTTTTACATTCCTTTATTGCTATTAAAGAAAACAACAGATACTGACAAACACAAAATCTACACAGACATAGACAGGCAGAAGAGATAGAGAGACAGACACCCAGACAGACAGACAGACAGANAAAAATGGGGTTACAAAGAGGTTCCCAAAATGATGGGTGGTTATCATGTTTAGCTGATTCGAGATAGTTAATTTTCGAATTGTTTAAACACCCTAATGAAAAATTGAAAAACATGTTAACAGCAATTGAGAGTTGGGAGACACATTTCTGCAGTAGTTAAAGATTCATAACAAAATAACACAAACAGCAAGTTACACTGTAGACTTGGAGAATTTCTGGCCGCAGTAACGATTCACGAAATATTACAAATTCATTGATTATATAAAGGATCCCCCTATTTTTACGGTGACTGACAGACTGAACCTAAACGCCTAAACTTAATCTGGCATGTTAGTGACCCAGTGGTAACACTGCCAGTCTCGGTTTCTCTATGTAAACCCACCAATAGAGTAAACTAGGTGTGATTTCTACAATACATGAGCCCATATTTCATAAATGGTATTATTAACCCTATTAAATACACCTGTCCCCGGTTTATTCTGGGGACAAAATAGCTCGAACTGGTATACAGTAAAGAACTGACCATTCCGGTTTACATGAGATGGTCTACCATTGCCTACCCTGTGGTACCACAGTGTAGGTGTATTTCCCATATATGAGCTGATATATAATAAGGAAATCTCAACCTTTGGAATTAGATTGTCAGCCATCCGCCAAACCAAACATCAAGAGTGTGCAACCTATATACATGCCAACGTAACTGCGACGAAAAAATAGACACTCGTTATTAATACTGTGGAATTTCAGATATACAGCAAAACTATATTGAAATAAACTTTACAATCTAGCGTTATCTCACGTTGACTAGAATAATATTTGACTAGAAATGAATAGACAAGTATCAAAGGTCATTTTACTTGAGTGATCATGGTTAAATCATAATTAAAGTCCATAATATGTAGTCCACTTAATTATCTGCTCCTAAGGAGCACATATATCAAACTAATGATACCATATATAGCAAGGTTAGCTATCTTGTAGGTCTGTGCCAGTTTATCATCTGACAGCATATTACTGGATACATCATTGTTCAAAGTAGATATACCACTTATCCAGTCCAATGGTATATTATTAATACCTAACACACTGATTGACAAGTTCATGTAACATTTTAAAAATTGCTTGAGACCTGGCCCACGCTGGCATGAACATAGGCCTATATCACCTTGCGAAAGTCCAAATCACCTTCAGCGTTGTTGTGGTGAGCCAGTCCTCCTGAATCATTTCCTTGGAAACAGCATAGATCCAGAAATATCCTGTTGACAACAAACACAACAGCAGAGTCCTGTCCAGTATTTTTTTTAAATGGTGTAGTTGGGGCGGTGGGTGGGTAAATTGTTCAACACATTTCGAGCAGCCACATCAGGGTCAGAGATATTCAGGGACATGGATACGCATAAAATTCATAAGCGCAAAATTAGTAAATAAAGCGTCTAGCTGATGTTGACCGAAGAGGAGGACTTGCGAAAGACCAGAAATGGCAAATTACCCTAACTCATTCAAGATTTTCACTTTAACTAAACTTGTGTTATCATACAATTGATAAACCTTATTACAGTTGTGTGACCGCACAACGCACCAAAAATACCGTGCGCACACCGTGCATACATCGTTCACACACCGTCCGCACATCGTCCATACATGGTGCGCACAACTGGGCGATTTAGCAATCGTTCGCCCCGTTGTGCGCTTCACTCCGCACAACTGTGCGATTAGGTACAATTTGTTCATCAATATTACGGAATGAAAAAAATACGGAGGGCTCGTATGCAATAACGTACACTGTATTTATTATTGTAATTTCTCATCACAATAATTAAGATTATGTACAATTTTACAATGCATGTAACACAGTATTACAGTGACAGTTATACTGTCAAGAATTAATGGATCTGGCTCTAAGCTAGGTAACAGAACAGGTAAATAACATTTTGATGAGTGACCGGAGTTTTACCTGGTCTGTGCCTGACGGGTAGAGCTGATATGTGATACCATATACCGTTATGAAAACACAACTGCACGTTTAGTATTTGTTATTTGCATTCGTTTTAATCTAAAGCTCCCTTTCACCTGGTTTTCACACCTTGGCGAGTTACGTAAGAGCCCCGGGCTGGGGAAAACTACGGTCCAGGTACAAAGTGGATATGTTTACTTGTGTTGCCGAGACTGTGTTGTAAGTTTACATGTGTCGATTCTAAATTTAAGAAAGAATAGAAAGAAAGATAAGTTTGTAGATGAAGTTAGGATAGGTAAACATACTAAAATATCAAGTGTATGTTTTTTAATGCTTTTAAACACTAAACCGTATATATTGTTTAGCCATTCCTCAATTTACACCAACCACGATTGTTATCGCACAACGTTCGTCGATCGTCCGCACAAATGTGCACAAGCAATGATCGTCCATTTTTTTTATCGTTCGCACTTCGTGCACACATCGTTCACACACCGTGCACACATCGTGCGCACACCGCACATCGTGTAACGTTGTGCGATCCCACAACTGTAGTTAAAGATTCATAACAAAATAACACAAACAGCAAATTACACTGTAGACTTGGAAAATTTCTGGCCGCAGTTACGATTCACGAAATACTACAAATTCACAGAGTATATAAAGGACACCCCNTGGCATGTTAGTGACCCAGTGGTAACACTGCCAGTCTCGGTTTCTCTATGTGAACCCACCAATATAGTAAACTAGGTTTGGTTTTTCTACAATACATGAGCCCATATATTATAAATGGTATTATTAACCCTATTAAATACACCTGTCCCCGGTTTATTCTGGGGACATAATAGCTCGAACTGGTATACAGTAAAGAACTGACCATTCCGGTTTACATGAGATGGTCTACCATTGCCTACCCTGTGGTACCACAGTGTAGGTGTATTTCCCATTTATG